CGGTGTGTCTTGGACTGGAGTTCCCCAAGGTGGGCCCTGAAGCTCATGCACCCTCTGCCCTCCCCAGGTTGGACAGGAGGGACACTGGGGGAGGGGCCCAGCACAGTCTCGTCCTCACCCCATGCCCTCTTCCTGCAGGAAGTGAGGCAAGTGAGTCCCTCCTTGCCCGAGCCCGATGCTATGGGTTCCTGGGCCAGAAGAAGACGGCCATGTTCGACTTCAACGCAGTGCTGCGGGCTGAACCAGGGAACGTGCAGGCGCTGTGCGGACGGGCATTGGTGCACCTGGCCCTGGACCAGCTTCAGGTGCCACCCCGCTCCCCACCTGGGCCTGGGCAAGCAGGGGTGGGGGACCCAGGGTGCTGCCTTCCTCTACCCCAAGGAGCCAGGGAGCCAGGTAAGCTGCCCTGAACAGTGAGATGCCCATTGAAATCTGTGCTCCCATCCCTACCTGTTCTTCAGCTCATGGGAGCCTGGTCCCCACAAACCCAGTTTCTGGGAGTCCTGCCCTTTCGTCCTCCCAGCCTCCATCTGCATGGTAGGGGTCCTCCCCAGCTTAAATAACGCTCAGTGCATGCAGGGTCCCTCTGGGGGTGTTGCCCAGGAGGTGTGCCCTCGACTGCATTGGTGGGGGCTGCCTGGCCCCCTGTGTTGAGAGGGGTTTGGAGGGCATGCACAGAGGAGGTAGCTGTTAGCCTTGGTCAGCCATGTCTGCCACAGACAGGTGCAGGGGTGCAGCCCCTGGACCCTGATCTGAGCTTCATTTACCTGCTCCAAAGTTCAGCATCTATGCATTTAAGACTTTCTTCTGCAGAAACTGCTCCAGCTTAAACGCTGGGAGAGGGCAGTAGCCAGAAGACAGACCCCATTCGGCTGGGGAGGCCTGTGCGCTAGAAGGTGGTTTCTGTTCTGTTTGTTTATGAGCATTCCTTTCTTGCAACTGCGCTGAATTCCATGTTGTGTGACTCTAAGGGACTCACACTGGACCTGTGTGCTCAGGCCAGGCCTGCTGCCCTGAGCACTGTCTCTGTGGAGCCCAGAAAAGTCAGGTCCAGGTCCAGCTGAGCAGCCAAATCACTTCACCTCCCCAGGCCTCAGTTTCCTCCACTATAAAAGGAGGAGGGGGCTAAACAACCAATGAATTACAAAAGAAATCACAAAAGAAGTTAGGCAATGCTTAGAGACGAGTGAAAAGGAAAACAACACACCCCATATTATGAGACACGGGGCAAGCAGTGCTGAGGGAGAAGTGCATAGCTGTAAATGCTTCCATTAAAAAACAAGAAAGAGCTCAAGTCAGCAACCTAATTTTATAACTTAAGAAACTAGAAAAAGAACAAATGAAAGAAAGAGAGAGAGAGAGAAAAGAAAGAAAGAAGAGAGGAAAGAAGAAAGAAAGAGAGAAAGAAAAAGAGAGACAGGGAGGGAGGGAAGGAAAGAAGGAAGGGAGGGAGGGGAGGAAGGGAGGGGTAAAGGAAATTACAGCAGAGATCAACAAAACAGAGGAGAATAAATAGAAAAAATCAATGAAAACAAAAGTTGGTTCCTTGAAAAGATAAAATTTGACAAACCTTTTGCCAGGTGGACTAAGGAAGAGAAACTTTAAATCATTGAAATCAGAAATGAAAATGAAGTCATTATTACCAATTCTACAGAAATAAAAAGAATTATAAAATAGTAATAGGAACAATTGTTAAGTCAGCAAATCAGCTAACCTAGATGAATTGGACAAATCCCTAGAAACACAAAACCTACCAAGACTAAATCATGAAGAAATAGAAGATCTAAATAGACCTATAACTAGTAAAAAGATTGAGTCAGTAATCAACAATCTCCCAACAAAGGCCAGGACCTGATGGCTTCATTGGTGAATTCTACCAAACATTTAAAGAACTAACACCAATCCTCAATCCTCAAACTTTTCCAAAAAGTTAAAGAGGAAGGAACACCTCCTCATTCATTCTTTGAGACCAGCATTACCCTGATACCGTAGCCAAAGACACTGTAAGAACCTACAGACCATTATCCCATATGAATAGTGAGGCAAAAATCCTCAACAAAATACTAACAAAACAAATTCAGCAATTGTTAAAAGGATGACACACCATGACCAAGTGAGATTTATTGCTAGAATGCAAGGATGGTTCAACATACAAATGTCAATTAATGTAATATACCACATTAACAGAATGAAGGGGGAAAAAATGATCATCTCAACTGATGCAGAAAAGCATTTGATAACATTCAACACCCTTTTATGATAAGAACACTCAACGAACTAAGAATAGAAGGAAACTGCCTCAATTAAAATCCATATACGCAAAACCCACAGCAAACGTCATCCTCGTTGGTGAAAAAGAAAAGCTTCTCTAAGATCAGGAATAAGACAAGGATGATTGCTATCGCGAGTCTCCTCAACACCGTACTGGAAGTTACAGCCAGATAACTAGGCAAGAAAAAAATTACCAACCATCCAAATTTGAAAAGAAGTAAAGTTATCTCTGTTCACAGATCTTATATGTAGAAATCCCTAAACACACACACACACACACACACACACACACACACACAAAAGAACTGTTAGAACTAATAAATGAATTCAGCAAAGTAACAGGATACAAAGACAACACAAAAATCAGTTGCATTTTTATACATTAATAATGAACAACCCAAAATGGGAATTAATAAAATACAGTCATCTCTTGGTATCCACATGGGATTGGTTCCAGGACAACCCTCAGATACTAAAATCCCCACATACTCAAGTCCTGCAGTCAGCCCTGTGGAACCTCCAAGCCCTAAATACAAAAAGTTGGCCCTCCGTATACACGGGTTTCACATCCCAAGAATTGATCTGCATTTATTTGGCTGTGGATTCAGAACCCACCAATACAAGAGGCTGACTGTATTTACTGAAAAAGAATCACATATTTATGGACCCACATAGTTTTAACCCATGTTGTTAAAGGGTCAACTATAATTCCATCTACAATAGCATCAAAAAGAATAAAATACTTAGAAATTAACCAATGAGGTGAAAACTACAAAATATTGCTGGAAGAAATTAAAGAAGACGTAAATAAATAGAAACATTCTGTGTTCATGGATTCGAAGACTTCATATTGGTAAGATGTCAGTATTATTCAAAGTGATCTACAGATTGAATGCAATCCCTGTCAACATTTCAATAACGTTCTTTACAGAAATGAAAAAGTTAAATTCTAAAATTCCTGTTGACTCTTAGGGGACCCCAAACAGCCAAAACAGTCCTGAAAAAGAACCAACAAGCTGGAAGACTCACACTTCGTGATTTTAAAACTTACTACAAAGCTACAGTGATCAAAACACTGTGGTACTGGCACAAAAACAGACACAGACCAATGGAACAGAATAGAGTCCAGAAATGAACCCTCCCATATATGATCAAATGATTTGACCAAAACCATTCAGTGGGGAAGGGACAGTCTTTTCCACAAATGTTGCAGGGAAAACTATGTAAAAGAATGAAATTGGACTCTTTCCTAACACCACATACAAAAATTAACTCAAAATAGATCAAAAAATCTAAAACTATAAATCTCTTAGAAGTAAACATGGTTGGGGGACGCTTCACAGCATTGGGTTTGGCGATGACTTCTGGGCCACAACACCAAATGCACACGCAGCAAAAGAAAAAATAATGTTGGATTTCATGAAAATTGAAACTTTTATGCACCAAAGGACACTATTATAACAGAGGAAAAAGACAACTGACAGAAGAAAACCACAATATCTGAAAGTCACAGATGAGGAATTAATATCCAGAATCCACAGAGAAGTCCTAAAGCTCAACAATAAAGCCAAAACCCAATTCAAAAATGAGCAAAGGAATTACGTGGACATTTCCCTAAAAAAGATGCGCACACGGACAGGAAGCACATGGAAAGATGGTGGATCTCCCCAGTCATCAGGGAGCACAGATCAGAACAACACCGAGACGCACCTCACTCCTGTCGGGATGGCTACTATAGTTTTGTTTGTTTGTTTTTTGGGTTTTGTTTTTTTTTGTTTTTTTTTTTTTTTTTTTTTTGAGGTGAAGTCTCGCTCTATCGCCCAGGCTGGAGTGCAGTGGCATGATCTTGGCTCACTGCAACCTCTGCCTCCCGGGTTCAGGCAATTCTCCTGCCTCAGCCCGGATGGCAGGTGCACACCACCACGCCCGGCTATTTTGTATTTTTAATAGAGACAGGGTTTCACCATACTGGCCAGCATGGTCTCGATCTCCTGACCTCAGGTGATCGGCCCACCTCAGCCTCCCAAAGTGCTGGATTACAGGCATGAGCCACTGCACCTGGCCATAGTTTTTTAAAAAGAAAGTAACAAGTGTTGGTGGGGATGTGAAGAAACTGGAAGCTTCTGCACTGTTGGTGGGAAGGTAAAATGGGGCAGCACTCAGAAAAGGAAACGGCCATGTCCCAGAAAGTTAAACAGAACTACCATAGGACCCAGCAGTTCCACATCTGGGTCTGCACCCAAAAGAATGGAAGCAGGGTCTTTTAGAGACGTTTGTACACCCATGTTCATAGACAGCAGCCTTGCTCACAAGAGCCTGGAGGAGGAAGGTACCCAGGGTCCACGGATGGATGGGTGGATGAGCAAAACAGGGTCCATCCATACAATGGGGAAGTATTCAGCCTTAAAAAGGAAGGAAATCCCAGTACACTCTGACATGGATGAACCTCGAGCACATTATCTCAGTGAAATAAGCGGCCACCACAGAAGGACAGACGCTGCGTGATTCCACTTCTATGAGGTCCATGGAGCCATCGAATCGCAGAGCCAGGAAGTAGGATGCTGGGTGCCTGGGGTTGGGGGAGGCGAATGGAGAGTGTTTATCGGGGAGAGAGCTTCAGTTTGGGAAGATGAGCTGGTTCTGGAAAGGGATGGTGGGGATGGCTGCACATTACGGATGTATCTAATACCGCCCAACTGCCCACATCAAAACAATCAAGACGGTCCGTTTTACGTTATGTATATTTTACCACGATAACAAGTGGGAGAAAGAGCAGGGCGGGTGCTGCCTGCCCCTCCCCTTCCTGTCCCCTGCCCAGCGCTCCCATCAACCTCGGGTGAATGCGGGTGGGGCGGAGAAGGACCTGTGGCTGAAGAGTGTGGTTCTTTTAGCCCGTAAACAGGCAGGACACGAGGAATGTCCCCTGTGAGACCGTTGGTCACCCTCTTGGGTACTAGCCTGAGCTGTCTACGCAACAGGATGCAGGGCAGGGGCAGGAGGGGTCCACTCCCAGGTCCATGACAAGAGGCTGTCACAAGAGAGACCTGCCCCCAGGCAGCCCCAGCCCGGAGGCCCTGCCCTTTCTTGCTGGAGGCTGTCAGAGACAAGGGTACTTCCCAGCCAAGAGCAGTGTTGAAATGGGCTGTGTGCCCGGACGCTTCACCGGGTAAGAGCACAGTACAGAGGCAATGGGCCTGCCAGGGCATCTGATTTTCTTATGGGCGGGAGTTCTAGGAAGCAGGGAAAAGTCATCTTAGAGGCCAGGGGACGGCGCCTCCAGAGGCCATGCTCGCTGCTGCAGGGCAGGCTGCCGGACTGGGGCACCAAGTTTCCCCCAGGCCCGCTGGCAGGCCTGACTTCTGTGCCAGCCTGGGCCCCAGGGCGGGAGACGTGCATCTGGACAGGCGTCGGTGGCTGGCCGGGACACGCCCACTTAACAGCTGGATGTGGCCACCAGGGATCCTTGGACACCTGCCCGCCGGAGTCAGCACCTCCTCTGAGGGGTACCACCGGGTCCTGCCCACTCCGCCCGCTCTGTCCAGGGCCGCAGGACCAGAGACAGGGAAAGTCAGCCAGGACGCCTGAGGGCCAGCACGTGGGAGTGACAACCGGAGCCGGAGCCCCATCACGCCTGGGAACCTCCGCCCCCAGGATGTGCGCTGACGCGGCACCACTCACGTGCCCACTGCCTCTTCCCCCTGAGGACCCACGGCACGACGTGGGGCTGTGAGCTCCAAGTCAGCGCTGGGCCTCAGCGGCAGGCCTCCCCTCTCGGCCAACAACCCTGGCCTGCCTCTGAGGCTTGCTTTCACCACAGGTAACATACAGAGGTGCTTCTTCCAGGCTGCCAAATGCTCCCCTGGTGGAAATGGACAGCGCATATTCCAGGAATTCAGATGTCACCTGGGGGCAGGGCTTGTCCACGCTGTCAGATGCTCCCTTGGGGGTGTGAGATGCTGTGCCAGGTTATCAGATGCTCACCTGGGGGTGGCGGGTGCTTTCCTAGGCTGTCTGATGCTCACCTGGGCTGCTGTGCCAGGCTCTCACATTCTCACCTGAGGGTGTGGGCACTTGTCTGTGCTCTCACACACTCACCTGGGCATGCTGGATGCTGTTGGAGGCTGTAAGATGCTCACCTGGGGTGGAGACTGTTGTTCCAGTCCGTCAGATTCTCACTTCAGTCTGGTGGTGCTGTTCTAGGCCATCAGATGCTCCCCTGGGAGTGTGGGTGCTCTTCCAGCCTGTCAGATGCTCACTTGGGAGTGTGGGGTGCTGTTCCAGCCTGTCAGATGCTCACCTGGGGATTTGGGGTGCTGTTCCAGGCTGTCAGATCCTCACCTGTGGTTAGAGAATGCTGTCAGGCTGTCACACATTCACCTGGAGGTGTGGGTGTGGTTCCAGGCTTCCTCATGCTCACCTGAAGGTTTGGAGTGCCATTACAGGCCTCCTCCTGCTCACTGAAGGTGTGGGATGCCATTCCAGGCTGTCTGGCTCATCTGATGGTGTGAAGTGCTGGTCTAGCCTGTAAGATGCTTAGCTGGGGATGAAGGCTGCCATTCCAGGCTGGCAGAGGCTCACCTGGGGGTGGGTTTGTTTCAGACTGTGAGATGCTCACCTGAAGATGGCGACTGCTCTTCCAGGCTATCACCTGAGGGGAAGTACTGTTCCAGGCAGGGAGATGCTCACCTGTGGGTGGGGGTGTTGTTCCATGCTGTCGGATGCTCACCTGCGGTTGTACTGTACAGTTTCCGGTTGTTAGAAGCTCACCTGGTGGTGGAGGGTGCTGTTTCAGGCTGACAGATGCATACCTAGGGTAGGGGAGCCATTTCAGGCTGGCAGATGCTCACATGGGGATGTGGGGTTCTGTTCCACACTATCAAATGCTTATTTTGGGGTGTGAGGTGCGATTCAATGCTGTCAGATGCTCACCTCGGGATGCAGAGTGCTGTTTTATGCTGTCAGATCCTCACCTGGAAGAGTGAGATTCTGTTCCAGGTTGTCAGATACTCACCTGGGGTTGGTGAATGCTGTTCCAGGCTGTCACATAGTCGCTTGGGGGTGGGATGCTGTTCCAGGCTGTCAGATGCTTACCTGGGTGTGTGGGGTGCCATTGCAGACTGTCTGATCTCACCTGGGAGTGTGGGGTGGTGTTCCAGGCCATCAGATGCTTGCCTGTGGGTGTGTGTTGCCATGCCAAGCTGTCAGCTGCTTACCTTAGGGTGGGTTGTTGTTCCAGGCTGTCAGATGCTCACCTGGGAGTGTGAGGTGCAGTAAAGGCTGTCAGATTTTCACCTGGGGGTGTCGGGTGCTGTGAACACCTGCCTGGGAGTATGGGTCTTGTTCCATGTTGTCAGATGTGCACCTGGGGTTGGAGAATGCTGTTCCAGGCTGTCACACACTCAGCTGAGGGTTTTGGTGTTGTTTCGGGCTGTAAGACACTCACCTGAGGGTGTCGGGTGCTGTTCCAGGCTGTAAGACACTCACCTGAGGGTGTTGGGTGCTGTTCCAGGCTATAAGACACTCATGTGGGGGTGTCGGGTGCTGTTCCAGGCTGTAGGACACTCACCTGAGGGTGTCGGGTGCTGTTCCATGCTGTAACACGCTCACCTGAGGGTGTCGGTGATGTTTCAGGCTGTCATCTGAGGGTGCTAGGTGCTGTTCCAGCCTGTAAGACACTCACCTCAGGGTGTCGGTGATGTTTCAGGCTGTAAGACACTCACCTCAGGGTGTTGGTGATGTTTCACTCACCTGAGGGTGTCGGTGATGTTTCAGGCTGTAAGACACTCACCTCAGGGTGTCGGTGATGTTTCAGGCTGTAAGACACTCACCTCAGGGTGTCGGTGATGTTTCAGGCTGTAAGACACTCACCTCAGGGTGTCGGTGATGTTTCAGGCTGTAAGACACTCACCTCAGGGTGTCGGGGATGTTTCAGGCTGTAAGACACTCACTTCAGGGTGTTGGTGATGTTTCACTCACCTGAGGGTGTCAGTGATGTTTCAGGCTGTAAGACACTCACCTCAGGGTGTCGGTGATGTTTCAGGCTGTAAGACACTCACCTCAGGGTGTCGGGGATGGCAGGAGGCTGCAGCCACAGGGAAGCGGGAAGGGGCAGGAAGCCGGGTGTTCAGACCCTCTAGGGCCCCGAGGAGAAGACCAGGGAATGAGAAAGACAAAGCCAGCCCTCCTGCTCTGCCCTCTGCCCAGTCTCTCCGCCTAGGCCGACTCTGTACCCGCCCCGCCCTCCCTCCTTGCAGGAAGCCCTGGACGACTTCACCTCTGCTCTGAAGCTTGGCCCCGAGACAGTGGTCCCAGAGCTCCGCTCTCTGAAGCCAGAAGCCCGGTCCCTCATCACACAGGGCCTCTACTCCCGCTGCCGGGCTCTTCTGAGCCAGCTGGGGGACCCTGGGGCCCCTCTCAAGGACAAGGACTCCCAAGGCCTCCTTGCTGCGGCAGAGGCGCTGATCAGAATCGATGCACCTCAACCGCACTGGCACCTCCTCCTGGCAGACGTTCTCATGGCACGGGGTACGTGGCGGCCCCACAGAGGGGAACACGGGGTCTGGACTTCCGTCCGCACTCCACTGACCTCTATATCCTTTTCTGTCACATGGGAGAAAGAGACGTGGGCCACAACTGCTTCCGAGATCCCTTCCAGCCCAGTGCCATGACCTCCGGCCCCGGCCCCTGTGAGGCCTGGTGCGTAGAGCTCTCTGCTACTTTACCCAGCGGGCTCTTTGCTTGCATGGAGGGGAATCAAGGGGTGATCTTGGTCCATAAAAGGCCTCAGATCCTTCGCCCCCTCATTCATTCGCGAACCTCCAGCCATTGTTTCCCGGGCGCCCACGGGACATGAGGCCCCGTTCCAGGAGGAACTGTCGTCCGCCCCGTGTGCCGACACGTACATCCTTCCCGCGGGTTTCTACATCCCGTGGTCATGTGGAAACCTTTCTCCACTAATTCCGAAGGGAGCTCTCTCTGCAGTCTGCATGTGCCCCCCGAGGGCTGCGGGGGCCCCAGGGCTGCTCCAGTAGGCCCAGAGTTTGCCTCTCGTTGCCCGGAAGAGAAAGCAGCCCCTTCTAGTGCCCATGGTGAGGGGCTCAGCATCATGGAGGGGGGTCAGCGGTGAGTCCGTGTGATCCGCCTGGAATCACGGTGCATCTCTGCTCCCAGCTCCTTCTTCCTGGGGCTGAGCCGTCAGCAGCTCCCCTAAGCCGGCGTAGGGCAGGGAAGGAGCAGCCAGCGAGTCTCGCCTCTCTTGCACCTCTGCCCTACACACTGACGGTGATCCTGAATCCCTGACAGGCAGCTACGAGGAGGCTGGCACCCACCTGCAGAACACCCTGAACTCTGCCCCAGCGTCAGAGGCAGCCCGGGCCCGGCTGGGCCTACTCCGGCTCAAGAAAGGAGACGTGCCAGGGGCTGCCCGGGACCTGCAGGGCCTGGCAGAGGCGGATGCCTCAGACCTCAGCTGCCTGCTGCGTCTCCTGGAGACCTCGGAGCGGCAGAGCCTTGCCCAGGTGCGCGAAAGAACCCCACACATCTCCCACCCCGACCTTCCCCAACACACAGTCCTGAGACCCCTGCGCCCACCGCTCCAGCAGCCCTTCCTCACTCTGCGGTTGGGTTGATTTTAGTTGGGTTTGGGGTGGGGTGAGAGGCACCCAGTTCTGGCCCAGGAAGACGGTCTCTGGCCACCTTAGCCCTACAATCCCACCGACTTCTCAGCCTCTTTATACGGGGTATATAAGCCACAGGCGACTCGAGTGTAAGAGAGGGAAGGGGACCCTGCCCTCAGGGCCAGACTGGGCCAGCCAGGGGCACCTTGCCTGGCAGGAAGCCCACCCCAAGCCCAGTGCAGGAGGGGAGAAGGCAGGCGGGGAGGCCAAGAGCACAGCGGGCTTTGGGGTCCCAGGGACTCAGAACCACACCCCAGTGGGGCCTGGGCAGGATTTCACTTCCTCGTGCTTCCTGACACCAGCGGCTTCCGGCACTCGGGGGCCACGTAGGAAAACAGAAGCCACACTAGGAAGAACAGAGGGATCTCACGGAGGCGTCGGGGCTGCAGCAGCCCGAGGGGCAGCGGGCTGACGCGGAGGGAGAGCAGCCGCCCCGCGCTGAGGGGCAAGGCCGAGGTCAGGCTACCCGGACCTAGAGGCGGAGGCCGGGCTGGGGGGTCTCAGAGCTCCCAGGATGGACTGGGGGGGTCCGGGGCTGCGCTGGGGTCGGGGGGGAGGAGGGCCTGGCGGGGCGGGAAGCCCGGTTGGGGCCGTGGTCCCGGAGCCCAGAAGCGGCGGCCAGACGCGGTCTCCGGGGCGGGGTCACCGAGCCCGGAGGCGGGGCAGGGCGGGGTCTCCCAGGTCGTCCGCCCGCGGCTTCGGCGGAGGCGAGACTCTGCGGGACGCGGACGGTTGCCTGGAGACAGGGGCCGAGCGGAAAGTGAGCCGGAAGTGGTTGCGCCCCGCTTCCTGCGCCCCGCCCCGCTCGGGCCCTTCCGCATGGCACTGCGCCTGCGCGGATCAGCGGCCCCCGGGGTCTGATGGCGCGCGCTCCCCCGCGGGGGCGGCCCGTGGGCCCCAATGTGCGGGGCCTGCGCGGGCCGAGGCTTCGCGACCACCCCGGGCCGTGGGCTGCGCGTCAGGGTCAGTCGCCTCGGCCGGGAGAGGGGCGGTCCCGCGGGCCGCGCAGCAGGCGAGGGACGGGGGTTCGAGCCCCTGCCCTGCTCGGTGCCGCTCATAGCTGGCAGAAGAGACCACACTGTGCCCCGCGGGAGCCCAGCAGCAAAGCCGAGACCCTGGAACCCCCTGCTCCTCTCACGGACCCCGGGCGTAGGCCTGGGCTTCGTTCGCCCCTGGCGGCCGCGCCCCCAGTGGGGAGGAGACGTCGGGCACTGCCCGGCTGCTGGAAGGGAGAAGCAGGGCCAGCGAGAAGGGCGGGGCCCGCACGGTGCCCTGTTCGGCAGGCAGTGAGGAGCCCTTGCAGGTTCTTGAGCAGAGGGGGAAGCCAGTGAGGCAGGCGGATTTCTGGTCGTGGTTGACTCTGTGAAGAAACTGGGTCTGAGATGAGACGATTAGGTCTGGGTGAGCTCAGGAAAGTGCCTGGGAGGAGTTGGGGGGACAGCCAGGCCCAGCCCGCAACGGAGGCTGCACCCTGCGTCCATCAGCCCCGGGGAGAGGGCCCAGGGCGCATGTGCTCGGAGACCGGGCAAGGGCCATGTCTGCCACTGTCCTGAGGCCTGGGGCAGCCTTCAGAAGCCGGGCAGAGTGGAGGGGCTGGGCAGCAGCCCTGTCAGCCTGTTGGAGAGGTGGCTTGGCCAAGAGGGGCGGGGGCAGGAGGCCGCTGCGGTCACCAGGCAAGAAGCTGGGCCCAGCGGCTGGGGACATGAGAGAGGGAAATCCAGGTGCCTGATCTGAGGCGCAGGGAGGGGGGCAGTGGGCAAGGATGCCAGGCCTTGGGCTGCCGCTGGGCCTCCAAGGGTCTGAACAGCACTTTGCAGTCCAGGGCAGTGGGAATTACAGGGAGGGGTCCTCTGCCATGCCCACCCCCGCCTCCCGCCCTTGCCCGGGGCCAGCCAGCCCCTCCAGCGGCAGTGGGCAGCTCCTGTGCAGCCGGGGCCCTGCCCTCCGCAGGGAACCAGCAGGGGAGCTCTGCAGAGCAGGGGCTGCCCGGCTTTTGGGGCTGACCCCGCACTCCCCGCCTCTCTCTGTGTTCCCCATGCAGGCCGCAGCCCAGGAAGCTGGCACCCTCCTGGACACAGGGCAACCCGGGCGGGCGCTGGGCTACTGCTCACTGTCTGTCCTGGCTGGTGGCGGCCATGCGTGTCATCTGCGTCTGCGGGCCACCTGCCTGGCCGAGCTGCAGGAGTTTGACCGGGCCCTCAGGGACCTGGACCGTGTGCTACAAGAGGCTGCAGGGGACAATGACCTCCCAAGGCGGGCAGAGGACTTCTGCTGTCAGGGCCGCCTGCTGCTCAGCCTGGGGGATGAGGCGGGGGCCGCAGGGTCCTTTGCCCAGGCCCTGAAGTTGGCACCCACCTCGGCCCAGAACAGCCTGTGTGAGCGGCCAGGCCGGGGCCCCACTGCACGCATGTTCCTCCTCCTCGGCCAGCGCTGCCTGGAGGAGCAGCGTCACGCGGAGGCCTGGACGGCGGCTGAGAGCGGCCTCCTGGTGGACCCCGACCACCGCGGCCTGAAGAGGCTGAAGGCCAGAATCCGGAGGGAGGCATCCTCAGGCTGTTGGCTTCAGTGACGGGGCTCGACCCTCTCCCAGCCCTGATCACGGGGCCAGCACAGCACTTGCACCCATTGTCCAGGCCCTGGAGTGCACCCAGCTCCACAAACTGGGGAGGTACCCACCCTGCCCTACCCAGAACCCCTTCCTGGCCCTCTCCCATCCCTCTTCCCAGCCCTCCCCACTGCAGGGTCTAGCCTGGCAGGGTCTCGTGGGTATTCTTTTGTGTGAGGAGATGATAGATCGTAGAAAAGGACACGAGACACAGATAATTCAGCTGGGCCGGGGTCCACTGCTACCAAGGTGCGGAGTCCAGCAGTGGCCCCAATGCCTGGACACACTGATATTCACTGTATACAAGGCAGGGGGCAGGGCCGGAGAGTGACTCATCCTACATGATTGGTAGGGGCCAAGCAAATCACATACTGATCATACGGGGGGCTGCGTGGGTACAGTACAGGGGGTCACATGGGTACTGTACAGAGGGCCCCTCTCTCTCAGGCCGTCACTGCAAGGAGGGGAGGCACACACATCAGAATCTTTCTATGCACTTATCAGAGAGATCAAAGGCTTTTAGGATTCCTCTATTCTTATTTCTAAGAATTTACAAGGGAGCATCGGTGGGAAAGTGGACGAGGATGGCGACCGTCGGAGCACAGCACCACGGAGGTGTTTATGCCCCTGGATGTCTGTGGGTCGGCCTGGCTAGTGTCAGACCCTCCTCGAGGGCCGGATGGTGCAGAGTGTTCTCTGAACTCCCCAGGGAAAGGGAAACTCCCCCTCACGGCCTGCAAAGCAGCAGGCACCTCCCCAGGCTCTGGCGTTACTGCAAGGCCTGTCTGTAACGGGCATCTTACCTGGCGCTACCGCAAGGCATTGACTCTCGCCTCCTGATCACTTCTCACAATGTCCCTTCAGTTCCGAATTACATTTCACCCGATTATTTCTGTACTATGAGGCTAAACATGTTCCTCCACTGTAATACTAACAAAGCTTAATAACCTCTGTAATGTAATGTAATAAGACTGAGCATATAATTATGTGATTGTATCTAAGTCTAATTGGTGTCTTTGCTATAAGTAATCAGTTATTTATTATGCTATAACTAAGTAATCAGTAAATCTATTTGGTATAATTGCTATATATAAGTAATCATTTGTTATACTGGGACAGATTGTGCCTTCATTCTCTTGCCATGGTTCCTGGGCAACTTTCTTCCCTCATCCCCCTTCCCGGCCCTCCCCACACTCCACTTCCCGGCCCTCCCCACACCCCACTTCCCAGCCCCCAGCCCCAACATGAGTCAGGGTTGGGCAGCCAACCTCACACCTTTTTGCCTTGGGAAGGAGGGGACAGCTTCCCACTTGCATTGAGGGGCATCCTGGAAGCGTCACAGTTCTGCCACTAGCAACCTTGCCCCTGAAGTTGGGGCGCCCGCACCTGGGGCTCAGACCTTGAAGAAGCAGGCCAGGTCTAGTCCATGGCCTGGGTCCTACAGGTTGGACAGGATTGACGTCAGACTCCTGGGGCTCTTGGGGAGGTGGTGCCAGCCCCAGCAGCCCCTCCTTGGGTGTGAAGCTGCCTTTTGCTCAGACCCCGGCCTGAGCCTTGCGCCAGCCTCCAGTAGAGCCTGGGCCCTCCCCATTGACAGAGCTCCCAAATGGGCCCAGCCAGCCTATATCCCAAGCTGACCATTCAGGGTGCTTTCATGGGGGTCCCTTGGGGGTGCCCTCCCCCCCACCTTCCCTGCTCCTCCCAGCCTCCTCACCTGGGACCTCCTGTCCTGTCTGTCCATGCAAGGCAGAGGGCAGATGCCAGCCCCGCTGAGGCTCCTCCAGGGCCTCAGGACCTCTGTTTCTCCCTCCCCAGGGGCTGCCCCCTCCGCCACTGGCTCACCCGGAGGGTCTCTCTCATCAGCCTTTGCCTGGCCTGGCTCCTTGCTGTGCTCTGTGTGTCTGTGTCCCCCCAAACTTCATGTGTTGAAGGGGATGGTATCAGAAGCGGGGCCTTTGGGAAGGTGATCGGGTAGAACCTCACGAGTGGAATTCATGTCCTTGTAAAAGAGACCCTGGAGTGCTCCTGAGCCCCTCCGCCACGTGGAGACACAGCGAGAAGCTGTCTGTGAACCAGGAGGGACCCTCACCAGAGAGCGAGCTGGCGCCTTCGTCTTGGGCTTCCAACCTCCAGAACTGAGAGAAAAAATGTCTGCTGATGAACCACCTGTCTCTGCCATTCTGCTGGGGCAGCCCAGACAGACAAAGACAAGCCGTTTCCCCGGCCCGCCACCTCCGCCCTGACACTGGCCCTGAGCACAGGGGGAGAGTCTCGGTTCCCCTTATCCCATCCTTCCTGGGGTCCAGCCCTGGCCTTGCCTGAGGGAGCTGCTCCAAGACTCAGCAGACACCCACAATCCGCAGCCCCTCGGCGTGCTCCATGCTCAGTGGGGATCCCTTCAAGTGCACGAAGCGGGGTTCCAGGACGGTGTGGATGCGCTTGTCCCTGAGGCCTGGGTGTGGCACCTGGAGGGCATTTCCCCGGCTGGGCGGTCCCTGGCTGGGCGGTCCGCGGCCCGCCTCTTCCTCAGTGCTCAGCTGGAGGTGGAGAGAAATCAGGCCTGGCCAGAGGGAAGTGTGCCCTTGCCTTGCACAATTCCTGCCTCGACGTGACACTAGGGACGCTCAGTAACCGGAGACCACCAGTAAATCCAGATTTCATTCATCCAGGTAAACTGGTAGAGTCATTTTCAGCCGCTAACGTGAGCTAGCGCATTAAATTCGGAACCTCTAGTCAGTGGACCCGCATCAGTAGCGCCAAGCCGTCCGGCTGCGTTCAGGCGCGCCCTCCTTTCCCATGTGGTTCCCGGGAATCGGCGTGTGAATTCGAGACACCTCACACACATTTGGGGTTACAATGGTTTCCTCCTGCGTCAGGCTTTGTACTTGACCCTTCCCCTCCCTGGGAGCAGGGTGAGGTTCTAGAGGCAACGGGGTGGCTCTGGCGGTTCGTGAGAACGAGTGTCATTTCTTACCACAGGGTTTTCCAGCGAAAAATAAAAAATAAATAAAGGCTACTCTCAGACTGTGGAGGACCAGCTGCTTCCCCTGGAAGGAGAGGCTCAGAGAACCAGGGGGTTCACAATTCCCAGCTTCATCTGAGCCCAAAAGGACATCCCCATTCCAAGCCTCAGCGTCCAGTTCCTTCTCA